CATTAATGTTAGTGCCCGGGGGGGGGGCAGCCAGTCGACTTTGGACCCCCAGAGGTTTTTTCCTCCTTACTTGGGAGTTTTTGGTTCCTCTCTTGTCTTCTCTCTTCTGCACACTGTGCACCTCAGCATGCGTTGTCCCCGCTCTGTGATTTTACGTGTCCTACCACAGTTGACCATGGAACAGTTAGTAGCGAGGAAATTTCACCAATGGAGTTATTGCACAGGTAGCATCCTATCACGGTACCACGCTTGAATTCACTGAGCTCCTATGAGTCACCCATTCTTTTGCAAATGTTTGTAGAAGCAGTCTGCATGCCTAGGTATTTGATTTTATACACCTGTACCTATGGAAGTGATTGGAACACCTGAATTCAATTATTTGGAGGGGTGTCCCATTACATTTGGCAATATAGTGTACATCCTTTTAAGAAACACTGCCTGTAGCATTATAATACTGTTGCAGCTGGAGGACTAGGGCTATTCAGTGATTATTATAGGGCAGTCCTCCCACCCTTTTCAGCCAATCTCTGGGGATTTAAGAGACAGCAGGAATGTGGGGTAGTGGGCAAAAGGAGAATTGGCAGGCTCCACACAACCCTATATATACTGGAGAACATTAATTGTCTTTCTCTTTTGATTTTTATTGTATTGGGTTCCTGTTTGAGTTTGGCGTGGGCTCCAGCTGTACAGGGTCCATTAAAGTTCTCATTTTTTTGGTGATATGCCTGTTGCATGTTCTTTACAATACACATAATTATTAAGGTATGTAAAATACTGTCCATATACAGAAACTGACTCATTATACCAAAGTACTTTTTATTTGTTTTAATATTAAAGTTTCAATAGTTTTATGCATAAACAAACGCTGATCACGTTTGGCAGTCGAATGGTGTACATAAAGTGTGTTTTTCACCAAGTTAGCTAACTGGTTAAAAAATCAATTATGTTTTTAGTTCAAGATCTAGCCACTAAACTTAGATCGATTGAGACAGATAACTGACAAAGAAGTGAGATATATGAACAGTGCTGAGATGTTATGCAGACGGAAACTGCTTTGATTCAGATCGGTCTGTTTTGGTTGCAGCACTGAACTCGCAGGCAACAGGTGATATACGCTTGCTGATGTTCTGACGAGTTGGGCTACCTATCGAGACGTACTATCGAGCCTTTTTTGCGCATGTGCAGTTCCACCGTTTGGGGTTAGGGTTAGGGCAAGGGTTTTATGGGGGGTTAGGGTTAGGGCAAGGGTTTTATGGG